TGTCAACCCACACTGCTGCACGTCTAGATGGCCAGGCCTCATCAGTATCAGAGTCAATCTGCCTGTTGTTTTTCTAGAATTACTCTTTAAAGGAAAAAACCATGATGGGGTTTAGCTGAAACACAAGCCTCTGGTCATGTTGGTGAGAGACAACACCACAAACACATCTTGGAAGATGCCACTGTGCAAGTCTAGCCTCAGGATCACAATGGCAGAGGTTACGAAAAGCCTTATCTTTCTTTTCAAACCTCCCAAAGATTACCTGATACCCTGCTATATTCCTTTTGATATTGTCTTTTTAGCCAGATATTTTCTTCTTTAATTTCTAGGTTGCTATTCTTACATTAGCAATATGATGACCCTAACAGTACCCAAATATCACCCAAATGGAGTTCAAATGTGAACACATGACTATTTAGAATTAGAAAGTTCAGACAGTAGGAAGTGACCCTAAAGTACTATCTGATACAGCTTGGGTCTCATGTCTGCAAACAGGAGCCTAAAAGGAGAAACGCACATATACCACTGAACTCGAGGACACCATGTGGGGCTACTGGACCGTTTAAATCTCTGGGTTTCTCCTGCTTCCTGGACARCTGCTCACATAGCCTAGGGGCATCTGGACTGGTAACATTTGCTGAACACTGGGGAACCCAGCCCCAACTTTTCTATGAAAAGCTGYCATCTTGAATTCGCCATGATGGTCTCTAGATCAATTGCTGAGAAGGGGCTTGTACTTTGTCAGTAGCTTGTCCTGCTGTGAACCAGTCAGATACAGCAGTGGAGCTCACTCTGTGCAATTAGAAGGCACAGAGCCCACATAATCTTAGAGGGCTCTGCCACTGCTGATGGCACTGCACTTTCTGTTGACCATGAGGAAATGGTGTCATTCTCTCATTTCAGATCCTTCCTGCTGGGAGCATTCAGATCTATTAGGACAAAGCAGCAGAGTTTACCTGAATCAAGACCATCATACACAATGCTGCTGGCTCTGCTCTTAAACTAGTGGCATCAGCCACTTGCCAGTTCATCATCTCTGCCTCAGCATAGGTGATCTATAGGGGAGGCTGTGACCGATTGGAGGTGCAAGGGCCTAGATCCCTTATTGAGGGCCACTGGCTGAGAGGGGCTGAGTGGGGTATTCAACTGTGAGAGCCACTGGACAGATGCTGGCTAGCAGCACTATCTTAAAGCCATTCACAACCTCCAAATTTTTCTATTTTTGTAATTATTTTTTTCTCTGTTCCTTTTTCATAGCATCCTTTTCTTAGTTTTATCGAGATTGATTTTTTTCTGAAATCCAAGTACAAAAAATATATATGTTTTAGTCAGATCTTTACTGCTGTGATCAAAATACCTGTCAAGAACAACTTAGAGAGGAAGAGTTTCTTTGGGGCTCATGGTTTCAGAGATTTGTCCATAGATGGCTAACTCCATTGCTCTGGGCTCAAAGTTAAGCAGCACATCATGGAAGAAAAGCCCAGCAGAGGAAAACTATTTAGCTGGTGGTGGGGTCAGGGAGCAGAGAGAGGGAAAAAGGGAAAGGGCTGCAAGGAATATGCACCTTTTCAGGGCATGCCCCCATAACACGCTTCCTCCAGTCATGCCCCACCTGCATACAAGTATCGCCCAGTCTATTCAAACTAGAATGGGTCAATTAGGTTATGGCTCTCATAATCTAATCATTTTACCTCTGAATATTCCTACACAGACAGTAACCTTGAGGGGATACCTCACATCTAGGCCAGCAGCACTGTCTTGGAGCCATCCACAACCTCCAAAATTTTCTATTTTCACAATTACTTTTCTGTTCCTTTTTTAAAGCATCCCTTTCTTAGTTTTATGCAATTTTTTTCTCTGAAATCCAAGTATAACAATCTATCGATTTATTTGTATGGATCGCTTTCATTCCCTGAATAACCTATATCTCTGGGGTCAGAGAAACTCCCTAGTATTGATTTATCTCTTTCATGCTATTGGTTCCACCCAATAATCTGATTTTTAAGAAACAAATGGGTAAATTAGTATGGGTTTCCATACTTTCTAGCACAGTCTCTTTCCTACATGGAAACTACCTAGGAACCCTGTATAGGATAGGGGGCATGGCAATATGGTGGTATCAATTATCAGGCTTTGCTTTAGGATAAGAGCTGCTGTCAAGATTGTGGGACTTTCCAAATGTCATAACCTAGATGACAACATCTGTTCTGAGTATCAGGGTGGAAGAGGGGGTGGCATGCCTACTGGTGCAAACTATTCCATATATAGAACTTCAATTAATTTTTTTTTTTTTTTAAATACCACTTCTCATTCTCACCATCCACTATACCTGCCAATTCTGAGCCCAGAGTCTCTTGGGATCCCCATAGCGGGCTGGTTCCCACATCCCTCTAGTTCTCTCCTAGCACATTCTGAACTGCAAATGTTTCCACCTCTTCTGTCAATATGTTCCCATCTGCTTTGTCTTCTAGAAATTCATTGAAGGCTGTCATCTGTTGCTTAATACCCCTTCCTCTTCTCGTTACTACTTTTTTTAAAAAATATTTTTTAAAGTTCTAATTTCTATTCTAAGTGTACTCTTTTTATGATAGATTAATTCAGCAGGGTCCTCAAAAGGGTTGGTGCAATCTCATGCACAATCCTCCTTGAACCTTCTGGCCAATGATTTGATATGAATAAATGCACATGATTTGAAACTATTTTTAAAAAGTACAGATATGAAGGAAATCAATTTATAATACAGTGAATTGTATGCAAGTTTTTCAATTTCTGTGTATTGTTTTCAGCAAGAGGATCTTTCAATAGTTTATTAAAAGCAAACAAACCAGGAAAATTTATAATTTCCTMTGAATTTGATGATTCAAAGGTATTTATGCCATTCAACCAAGAGTGGAGGAAAAAGAGAGAAATTCATAGCTTTGTGTGTGGGTGTGTGTGTGGGGGGGATGTAAAACTGATGAGTTTATTTTAGAACTGTTGATTATAAAATGTTTACAAGATGATTTGGGAAGATATGTCTAGAAGGTAATTGAACATATATTTATGGACCAGGCAGATTGGGTGTTTGGACCATGCTGCATACAGAACCACCCAGCTAGAAAATAAACAATTTATAAGGACAAAGAGAATTCTAAGGAATATAAATAGTTAAGGATGGGTTCAGAAAAAAAATCAACCTCTAACAGAGATTGTAAAGGAGTGTCCAATTATATCAAGCAAGGAAAAGACTAAAAAGCATGTATGGATTTTTTAGTAAACTATTAAATACCTTGGAAGAATAATGACATTTAAGAGGCAATTTGCAGCAACTTCACCAATGTGAATGTACCACTTCAGACGATAGTTGAAATACTGATTTGTAGTAGTACCTGCCCCCAACACCTGTGTGCATGTGTTTCTCTAGAGGGAATAATAAATCCAGAGCTGAAATGATGCTGAAAAGGATACAGAATTGAGATAACTGACAAGAATTGTTGAAAATGGTTCAAGAAGTTCAGGAAGAAGAGGGAAATGTGAAATCATAGGTATCTGAAAATTAGAGAATAAAGAGGGGGGTCAGATGATCATTAGTAGAACAGACACATAGGAAAGGGAATGAGGAAGGGGAAAAGACAGGAGTTGGAGTCAGAGAAGGAGGTATGCAAGAGAGTATTTTTAGAAACAGTAAGGTATAAGGTAGTAACAAGTTGAAGTGCAGCAGAGGAAGCCAGTGACTTCAGAGAAGTGCAGTCCAAATCCCCAATGTGGAGAGGATAAAGGACTAGAGTTGAGGAATTAGATCAGCCATGTGCATGGATAGTAGAARGCATTTGGGATGACTGAAGTACTGAGGAAGACTGAGATCAAATTTCTAAGTTTAGAAACTTAAATTTAGAAATTTCTATGAGAATTGACCCTGTGACTAGAAGAGAAGTCTAACAAATAGCAGATAGTGCATTCATCCCTGTCTGAGTAATCAGGGAATGCACAGGTGTCATGTGGCCCTCCTGGCCAGTTGGGAGTTTGAGAAGTCAGGAGCTGAAGGTGCCTCCTCAAGCGTCAGGCCACTGCCATCATGCTGGGAAGAACACAGCAGTGCACACTGGTGGGGCTGAAAATGCGCCAAGACAGATAAAGCTCCACAGTGCACAGGCTTCCACAGAATCCTCATCCAACGATCTGTGACAGTTACTTGTCACCATAGCAAACAACAGGCACAGTTCAACGAGTATGCACTGGACAAACTGGGTTGGATGCAACCTGAGCTGGGACAACTGCCAAATGCCACCTAAGTGAAAACAGATCAATGTCTCCTACAGAACCCTATCATTTAAGACCAAGACTGGAGCCCAGGCCTAAAAGAAAAGCAGATCTGAAGCCTGCCAAACAGTCGCCTTCTTTTCTGGACCATGTACATGGGCCCGTGGCTCATACTCAGGACACACTCAACAACAGACGAAAACACCCACGCAGATGGCATCAACCAATAGTGTGTATAATCTGGGATAACTAACAGGAAAAAAAACAATGTGAATTTATGTGACCTGGCAGTTATTTTATAACATTTCCTATCCATTAAAAATTTTAAGGGGCTGGGGATGTGGCTCAAGCGGTATCGCGCTCGCCTGGCATGCGCGGGGAACTGGGTTCGATCCTCAGCACCACATAAAAGTAAAATAAAGATTTTGTGTCCACCTAAAACCAAAAAAATAAAAATAAAAATAAATTTTAAGGGGGGAAAATAGAATTCCCAATAGAGGGGTTAAAGTAGACTCAAAGATTATTTATTATGCAAGATATATATAACACAAAATGAAACAGAAGCAAAAATATCTCTCAGGTAGTTCATAGTTGAGTATACAACCTCTTATGGATGGTTCTACACTAGAATAACATGATTTTAATAATCTTGGTCCAATGTTAACTGGAAAAATATTGTTTCCATATTTTCCTTATCATACAAAACAAATAAATACACTACTTCTTTAAAATACACTACATCTTTAAAAAAACATACRTACCCGATTCTTTTTAGGAAGTGCCCTGTTTCTGTACTTCGTTTCTTGAGACTTCCTCCTATTAATTTTCTTTTCCTTACATGACTTAGTTTCTGCATTATGTAAGTTGCAAACGTTCTCCTCTGCAAAACTGATCAATTGCTGTAAGAAAAATTTAAAGCAGGGATCCCATAAAGCCCAAGCAGTCACATTTTTAATGTAAAGCTCTATTATTCTTTTTCCCATGATGCTCCTATCATTTTACATCCCATTTCTTCTTAATTCACAAATTCCACTAGTGGCATTTTAACCAAAATTCAAATAAGGAAATTGAAGATTTATTTATTCATCAAATATTTATGGAGAACCTACAATTTAGCACTTAACTATTGTTGGGTTACAAGAAAGAAAATTGTGAACTGTAAGATTCTATGTTTGAATTATGGGTTTATCACTTAAAAGTTCTATGACATTAAAACATATGTTTATACAATATGATATAAGCAAAAATCCAATTTAATCTAATTTAACATAATAGAAAAAGACTTGYATTCAATGAGCATTATGCTTATAACTTCCAGTTGAAACTCAGTGTTAAATTGAAGTGCAGTTTAAGGAGGAGTTGTGCTTTTGTAATTTTCCAGCTCTGTTAATTACAAGCTAATCTCCTCCACATTCACCTCAATGAAATTCATAAAATTACACAGTTCTTAAAAATTTCAAAGGGATTACCTCTCACATTAACAATTTGAGACAACTGCCAAATGCCACGTAAGTGCCAAGATAACCTTATTTTAGTAAATTTTTCTTCTAACAGAATTTAAAATCAAATCAATAAACATTACTACTCTGGATTACATGCTAGGTAGATTAAGATTTAATTTTTAATAATACTCATTAAAGTAAGATTTTACCCATTACCATTTGATCATGAATATAGAAAAAATATATTGTAAGATTTAATATAAACACTTACACTTCTTCTGCCAGAAGTCCGTGTTAGTCTACCAATTTTACGGGAGGATACTTTCTCATGGTTATTTGAAGAACTAAAGGTATCAGTGCCTGATAAGTAAGACACAAACAAAATCAAGTTGCTAACACAAAATGATAACATGAGCCAGCTTTGGGAAATACTGAACAGTCTTTTAGATACACTCACTTTTAATATCATATTTAGACGTAAACAATTACCARGAGGAATAATTTTTGAGATCTAAAAATTCAGAACACTTTAAGCTTCTGAATATCATCACTTTCTGTGGTGAATGCTTAACATATTATCATGCTAACAGACTAAATTACACCACAATACCACATATTATGATAAATGCATGCTATTTTCATAGATATCCATTTATTCCAAACTATATTTTGTAGAAGGAAATTATAATAGCATTAAGATAACCATGAATATATCTTGCTTAATTAAAAGAAAAATTTTGATTTGATTTGTTTTATAAAAAAGTACTATAAAAATACTATAATGAATTTAAGAGTTAAGACTTTGGAAAGTGATTAGACTACATACAGCTCAAAAGTTAGCACAAACTTAATAATATATGGCTTGGATTCTGTGCTCATTAGATGGCTGGTGTCAACAAGAACCCATTAAAGGATTGYAACCAGGGAAGTAAAGGCTGAGTAATCGTTCTCACTCCAAGAGCCCAATCTATAACATTTACCAACCAATACCTGGTTTGTAAGAGCTGGGAGCAATCTCTGCTGCCTTAATAAAAGATAAGGTCCTTGGAAGTACATGTGCCAAAAATGCCATGCTAATATTGATGAAACATTTTCGATCTTTAAGAATAACCCTTATCTTACAATTCAAATCATTCCAGTTGTGCAAAATATGATAGGCGCTTACTGTTGATACTTAAGAATTGAGAGTCCAATAGCACTTCAAAAAAGGATTTTCAAGATTTAACTTCCATCACAGAAAGTTAAATGTGGGTGATTATAGGACTTAGAATGGAAAGGGATAGATAAGCAACTTCCCATAAACTTTTTAAAACTACAGTGGTAGTTTTTTAAAACCAAGCATAAATTGCTGTAACAAATATAAGTCATACCTGAGAGATTCTCAGAAACGGAAGGATTCAGAACTCCAAATGATACCTGAAGTGGTTCTATGTTTTCCTAAACAAAGTGGGGGCAGGGAGGGGGGAATTGTAGAAATTAGATATCTTTAAATTCAGTTAATATATAAATAATGTGCCCAAAAGAAAAATGTCTTATTTGGGTAAGAGGAATTGTAATAAGATTATAATAAGCAATAAGATTAAAGAGAAGTCAACGATATTAGATTTAAAAATACATGTTCTTTATAACACTGAACAATCATTTTTATAATGAAACCATGGTTAGTAATTATAATCCACCAAAATTTCTATTAAAAAGTGAAAGTTGCTTAATGATTCATTGATAAGTTACTTTTTGGTTTATTAAAAATTTCACATGGGGCTGGGGAAGTGGCTCAAGCGGTAACGTGCTCGCCTGGCATGCGCGGGGTGCTGGGTTCCATCCTCAGCCACCACATAAAAATAAAATAAAGAAGTTGTGTCCACCGAAAACTGAAAAATAAATATTAAAAAAAAACACAAAAAACACTCTCTCTCTCTCCCCCCTCTCAAAAAAAAAACAAAAAACAAAAAACAAAAATTCACATCATTCCAGGCATGGTGAAGCCCTCATGTAACTCCAACTACTCAGGAGGTTGAGGCAGGAGATCTCAAATTTGAGGCGAGTTTGGAAAACTTAGAAAGAACCTGTCTCAAAATTTAAAAAGGGCTGGGGACAGTACCTTATTGGCAGAGCACTAAATTTTATATGTAAAGGCCCTGGGTTCAATGCCCAGTACCATCAAAAAACAAACAAACACAAAAACTTTTATTTAAAGCCTGCAAAGTAAGAAAACCTAATAATACATAAAATCTAACATTACAATATTATTCCTGGAACTTCAAGGATAAAGTGGCAATATAAACACATTAATTTCCACGGTGTTCACAGACCATGGACTTCATAGATAAAATTGGTCAATTTGAAGAAATATCCTTTTTAAAATCAGCTTGCTCTAACTCTTTCTTTTTTCCTCAAAAATGAATGCTGGATTTTGTCAAATGTTTTTTTCGCATCTACTGAGATGATCAAACAGCTTTTCCTGTTTTGGTCAGCTTTTTCATTGCTGCAACCAAAAGACCTGATAAGAACAATTTCAGAGAAGGAAAAGGTTTATTTGGGGTTCAATTTCAAAGATCTCAGGCTACAGAAAGTAGACTCCATTGTTTTGGGCCCAAGATGAGGCTGACCATCAGAGTGGAAAGGCACAGGGGAGGAAAGCAGCTCAGACAAGGCAACAAAGAAGCAGAGAGAAAGCCCTGTTCCTCRGGGACAAAATATATGCCCTAAAGGCATGCACCCAGAGACCTATCTCCTCCAGCCACACCCTGCTGGCCTACAGTTTAGTTTAAGGCTCTCATAACCCAGTCATTTCACCTCTAAACTTACTTGTATTATCTCATTTATGAGTTTTTGGGAACGCCTCATAATTAAACCATAACAATTCCATTATTTACCCTTTAATATGTTAAGATATAGAGCTGTCATTTCTTTTCTTCCTAATATTGGCAATTTTTCTTCCTTTTTTCATTAGCCTGATTAAAGGCTTACTAATTTTTTGCATGAATTTTTTCAGTTTTAAAAATACAGGAATTTTTGCAGTGTTTTAATTTTAAAATGGTCTTCTTTCATATTCCAGTATCTATAAAAATCTGAGTACATCTTATAATTCATGGTGTTTTTAATTTTCAGCACTTTCTCTTAGTGAGACATAAAACAATGGTACATCTTACAGCAGTTAAGTCCCATGAAATATGCTATGTACAAGGAATCATGGAAGTATTGTTTGTAAGAGGGCAAAACAGGAAAAAAAATCTACATAGAAACTAGATTTAAAAAAACGGTGGCACTTCATTTAGTCTACCTCATGATTCAAAGCATAGCTACTGCCCACACAAAACAGGTATGACCTGAAGAAAATCCAACAAGCTTGTTCTGCACTCATCACACTTACAAGATTCTCCCCCTTGTCCTCAAAATTTGGTTGAGGAAATTGCTCAGGAACTGGTGATTGCTCAAGTAGCAGAGGACTAACACTACTCAAATTCTTTGGTCGGACAGGTGTTCCTCCTTTACGCAATGGAGTGTTTGCTGGCAAAGACTCATCAAACACTTCTGGGCTTAGATCCTCTCCAAAAGTAACTCTCTTCCTCTTCCTCACATTTAAAAAGGCCGGTGTTTTAAGACTTTCTTGATCTTCTACAAATAATAAATAGGAATATGTTAAAAAATTTAGCCCTAATTCAAATTATTATTTGAATAAAAGATGGTTTATAAAGCAAATCCAAAATGGCAAAGAGAATATGGCACAGATTTTCAAGTATAATTTTGCATAAATATCTTAATAGTTTATAAAATTAAATATAAAGTTTTTGCTGGGCACAGTGGCATAYGCTTGTAATTCCAGTGGCTCGGGACGCAAGAGGATTGCGAGGTGAAAGCCAGCCTTAGCAAAAGTGAGGCATTAAGCAACTCAGAGACCCTGTCTCTAAATAAAATGCAAAATAGGGCTGGGGATGTGGCTCAGTGGCCCTGAGTTCAATCCCCAGTAGCACCCCCTCAACACACACACACACATGCACATATACACATACATACACACATACACGTATATATAAAAGAACATACATATATATATTCTTTATAATTCTACCATTAAATAAAATGAACATAGGTGAAATAGACAAACATTTAAAAAAAATTCTCTTGCAGTGCTGGGGACAGAACCTAGGGCCTCCCCATATTGGGCCAGCTACTACTGAACTATACACTCAGCCTCAGACCAATTCTAAGGCTCTCCAAAGAAATTCAATCCCTCCCAAACATCTTTCATTCCTACATAATTTCAGGAGCATCAAAGCATTAGTGGATCACTGAAAATGGGATATATTAGATTTTGTTAACAAGAAAAATGATGCCCTCAGGCTTAAAAGTAAATAGGAATTTTTTACCTGCTTTTTGTTCTTCGCAACAGTTGGAAAGATTTGAGATTAAGCCTGGATCAATCAAATCATCACAGTGGTTGTCATGGTGCTCCTAAACAAAAATGATAATCAATGAGTGATTCTCTATAAAGAAATGTACATGTAGTTATTAAGAATGGCAATTTTAGGGTACTGGAATTGTGGTTCAGTGGTAGAGTGCTCACCTAGCATAGGTGAGACACTGGAGTTCGATCCTCAGCACCACATAAAGACAAATAAGTAAAATAAAGATTAAAAAAAAAAAAAAGAATGGCAATTTTGACGTGAGCAGTCATTGTAAAAATGACATAAAAATGTAATATTTGAGAATAAATTTAATCAACAYGAGTAAGAACTGTACCCTTAAAATGATATAAAATTACTGAGGAAATAAATATATAAATTAAGAAAAAAGAATGTTAATTTTGACGTTTTCCTGTCAAGGGCAGACAGTATAGTACTTATAAAGATAATCTTTATAGTACTAAAGATTATCTTAATTTTCATAATTGTTCTAAAACATCATGATGTTAGATACAAAGGAAAAATGGGTTCTCTACATATTATTTTGGCACATAGTATTTTAAGCCAAAATTTAAGAACAGAAATCCATAAGTGTGAGTTAAATCATTCCATCTTTAACCTAGAAAATAAAATTAAGGAAAATGTGAGTGGCTACAATTATAGTGTGCTGCATCTGGTATAGGACAAGACAGAGTAGACAAAGAGTCCAAAGTGTTAAGAATTGCACTAAAACAAGAAAAAAAAAAACTAAACAGGTAAATGAGTTAACCGGATGTGTTTATCTTTAAACATGAGAATTGCACCTTCCATAAATGCTCAAATTTCTTGCCTTCATTACACGAAAGAAGGCAGCTTTTGTCCATGTTTATCCAAATAAAGATTACAGAGAGGCAAGTTGTAAAGGAGGATATTGTGAACTCTGCAGAAAGACAAGGGGAACACAGGGCTCCTTGACTTTCTAGGATAGAGAGTTCGGCCTGTGGACTGGATCAAAGTCCCCTCTGAGTCACCACCTACTTGTACAGCCTCAACCTACTCACTGTTCTTGAGAGCTTTTCCTTTTCTCCACTACATCCATCCCAAGAGCAGCACGTGCCAAGAATAATTCTGCCCCAGATGAACCTCCTTAAACCTGCTATGTCTCAAATCAGTTCTCTTTCCTGACCAGGCAAATGTACATAACAAAACTGTGAAGAAAGTTAACATACACACAGAATTCATGGTTACCTTTAGATTTATTTTTAATTAAAACAACCATAAAAGTTAGCAAATAACTTGAATTTTGTAAGCCAAGCAACTTGGGCCAACTTAGTAAAAAGATCCTCTACACAATCATGCCTTCCTATCATCCTAATGGCAGGACCTGATGTTCATTATATAATATTTTTAAAAACAATTATACACATCATTAAGGCGTTATCTGAGAAGTTAACCTAAAGATATAAACAGTGCTGTACTAGAGATCTAAATCAGTTCTTCAATCAAAAAGATGATAAAACACTTAAAATAGCAACTGACCATGAAGACGAAAGGTAATCACTTCATTTTGGCTTTAAAAATAAATCTGTCAGCATAGCTGTGTGTTAAAATGCATGTGCATTGGAAAAAAAATATTTGTATTTCTGATGTGCCAGGCACTAGTGCTAACTTAATATCAGCATCAATATATTATAAATATAATTATCAATATACTGAATGCTAAAATTACCAGATACGGGAATTACTAATATCCTTTATAGGTAGAAAACCAGGACAAGAAAAGGTTAAATAATTTGCTCAGTTATTACATTTCTGAGTCTGAATTTGGCAACAGACACTGACTCCTGAGCCTCCCTGAGCAACCTGACACAGATTTTAACATCATTCTCACCTGGGTTCACTGAACAATCCTTAAGCCTAACCTGCTTGCCAAATGGGGCTCACACCTGTCCTGGAGTGTACCACTATAAAGATACCAGAATTGTCCAGAGACACTCCTCAATGAATGCCACCTATTTCCCACCAGCTTCCTCTTTTCTCATACCAACTAAGCTTAGAGAAAAAAGTTTGAGATTAAAACACCCATGAATCACCTGGGTTTCTTGAATAAAGAGAGGGTCTAATGTAGGACCCGAGATAGTGCATTTCCTCAAGCTCCAAGGTGACAGTGCAAGGATCTGGGTTCTAGAAATTATCATATGAATATCTATGGAGATATGTATAGAAACATTCACTGCAGTAATTTGTGTAATAAAGAAATACTGAACCAAAAAAAGAAAAAGAAAAAAGAAAAAGTTTGTGTCAGATCAGGCGGGGGAGGCTTTATTGAGATATCACTCCCAGGGGGAACTTGATCAGACCCACAGAGGGGACAGGAGAAGGGTCTGAGGAGAAACCACGAGGAAATTCGACCGGACTGGACTTTTATGGGGCTTACAGCAGGAAGGGAAGGGCTTGGGACAGGAAAAGGTGTTTCTAGGGTCCCTTGCCCCCTTGAAGTTGGTCAGGGGAGTTGGCTGAACTCCAGGATTGGCCAGGGGGTCCTGTGGATTGACAGGCGTTAGTCAGGAGATCTGGCTGATTGACAGGTGTTTCTGCCTGCGTCTGATTGATGTTCTTTTCCAACGTGGGCTGCTTTGTTCTAAGTTGCCACTAAGTTGCCACTAAGTCRCCACCACCGACCYAACAGTTTGGTTGTAAGACTTATTTTTTAAGACCAAAWATTTTGGATAGATAGGTAACAGACTGACACACTACATTTCCTTTTCATTACTATGATACATGACATTTCAGAGGTATTGCTTTGAAGAAAAATGAATTCTTATTCATTTTCTATAGGAAATATGATTCTCTTCTTACCTGTAAGTTCTCTGCAAAAAGGTTGCCAGAAGGTTTCTTCAATACAGAACGAAGTACAAAGGAGTCAGTGGATGGAATGTCCCTCTTGCACACAGTGGCAGCTGATGACTTGGCCTCAGGGACTGTGTCTGAGCTTGCCCCTGCTGTCAGTATGTCAATTAAAACAGCATCACTTGATTCTGTGCCCTCTACATAATCAGGAACCTTGCATTCTTCAAGATGAACATGTGATTGTGAGATGTCCAAATCTCCTTGTTCTAGACCAAAAATATTTTATGTATTGCAAAGACAATAGCATGCTATGAAGAAATTCAAACCTTATACATCCTGTTCAGGGAGGAGCATCTGGGATTTAATTTGGACTTATAAAAAGAAGACAGAGAAGTGGCCATCAGTCAGTTTGTAATTCAAAACTGATGAATAAGGGGAAAAAAGCAAGCAAGAGATGTTGGCCACCATAGAAATCCAGGTCAGAGGCTGGAAAACAGCACCACAAATGAGCCATACACTGCTAGTCTACCTCGGCTCATAATACCTATTACCTGCATTACAAAACTAACCTAAGCAAACCATTGAGTAATGAGCAATTTTACTGCTGATAATCAGAGGCAATATGCAAGAGAGGTGGAAATGAGAAGCAGGTAAGGTTATCAAACCAAGTCAATGTGTCACATCTGTGGATTCTGCATTGGTAAGTACAAGGACCCAGGTAAATCTGAATTTTATTCTAGTTACTTACACGTAAGAATTCTCCTATAAAGGAAAAATCTGAGACTTATTTACAAACAAAAAAATTATTTTTCTTTATGAGAAATAAATTATAGGTTAAAAAAAAAGGCAGGAGGGAAAGACTTGGAAGCACGAAGGGAAAGAGAAAGAGTGTGAAGTGACTAACAGCAAGGTCAGACAAGCAGTGCCGCGAGACACATGAGGCTACCAGCAGCATAATTATTCTGAATTTCTGCAGCGGTACAGATGGGGCAGAGACTGACTGTACTGAAGGCAGAGATCAAAGGTATGCAGGCCTCCTGTCCAGGTGCCCCCTTAACAAAGGACTTTCAATTCCATTTTACAGGATTGTTTTACTCTTCCTGGAGGTACACTGTCTGAAACATGACCTCTTGGGAAGCCACCAAACAGCCAGACAGTGTAACTCATAATAAGGCCCCACTGCAATAGTAGACCCACTTTTCCCTGTCTCATTGAAGAACTTTTGGGCAGCTTACTGGGATGCTCAAGTGAAATTTTGATACTCATCATGTATCAGACAGAAGGTAGAGTAAGGTGACTGGTAAAATGATGATTTTTATTATCTATACTATTTATAGATATTATAAAACTATTTATAAGTATTTTTAAGGACTATGTCACTCCTAAGCAAAGTCACATGACAATAAAGCAAAGAGAATTGGTCAGGAAGCAAGAGCGCCTTATGTCATCATAGTGACAAGCTCAYAAGCTGGCTGCTGTTGAGGGCCASAGCCAAGTCGGGAAGACACTCGACATTTTTGCCAGAAGGGAGTGGTTGAGAGGTGACACCAGCGAGCCACTGAGATGATAATGGTTAAGTTAAGCTGCGTATTCAGTTGTATATAGACCCCTGCTGTCTGCCTCAGGCACCCGCTACTTTGGAGTTCTCACGGGATTCCTAGGAGTTCCAGTTGGTTGGTGAAGTTCTGGAGGAGGGATTTCCGGTTGGGGGTGTTCCAGGAAGGGCCGCTTGGGTCCAGATCATGGGAGTTCGGGCAATAAAGGAGTTCCTGTTTGAATGTAAAAGTGCCTGTGYGGCAGGCTGCCCTTAGTGACCAGGCAGGCTTCCATCTATCCATCCATCTATCATGGGATTAAAATTAAAAGTCAGAGCACATGCTCTCTACAAAAAATGCTAAAGAAGTTCTTTYTCAGGGTAAGAGAAAATTCCAGAGGAAACTTAATCTTTAGGAAAGGATGAAGAAGAGCAGAAACGGTATATACTAGGCAAATATAAAAGGCTAGCTCCCCTATTATTTAAATACTTAAAACCAAAAATTGTAACAGCTATGGAGCTACAGTAAAGTATATGTATTATATGACACTTCCAGTACAAAGAACGAAGCAGGAGGGATCCAAGATGGTGAACTAGAGGGAGGCTGCATTCCTTGCTGCTGTTTGCCTACCTTTTGCCTGCTGCCTGCAGACTGTCCACATACAGGGCTCAATGCCTGTTGCTGCCTGGAAGTCCATTGTCAGGCAACCTGCAGGTTTGGTTACACACTGCTGCTACCATCTTGGGACACTAGCTAGGGCCTGGGAGTCCAGGGCCAAAGGCTCTGCAGGTTTTCCACTGCCCCACCACCATCTGGGGGTGCAGCTGCCTCAGTCTGGGGACATCGGCCAAGACTTGGAGATATACTGTCAGGGTACATGCAGGTCTCCTTGCACCTGAGGTCTTCTTGCTGGGTGTGCTAGTGGCCGCCATCTGGCTGCCTCTTTGCATGGTTGCTCCTTTGTGTGAGCACACCCCTGGTGGTCTCTCTGCAAGCTGGAACATCACTGAGATCTTGGGAATGCAGCAGGGCACAGCCTGGGGAATCTGGAGCCCAGCTTCATCAGATTGCAGCTGAGACTATGTGGGCCAGCATGGGCCTGGCAAGCCCATGGAAAGTCAGAGACTAGGCCCAATTCCCGGGTTGGAACTGGAGAAAACCGGGCTTTCTCCAGCTCAGTGAGTCCTGAAGTGTAAGGGAGAGAAGGGGCTGGTGACAAGTGGGAAGATGTAAAGAGGGGGAGAGGGCATCTTGCTCCCAGCTTGACCAGCCAACCCGCTCAGCACCCACTGGACTGGAGCTACCATCAAACTTCAGACAACCCCATCTATCAGAAAAGAAAAGCTGAGAAAATTTTTAAAAGCCAACAAAAGCAATTGGTCAGTTTTCCATACAGACTTTCCTTTTTTCCTCCCCMCCATCACATCTCTGAATCCAAATGTTTTTCATGTATCAGTTTATTGAGGAGTGGGATGTCTGAATAGGATATTACAGTGTAATTGTATATTCTTATATTTTAAAAAATATTTTTTTAATTTTCTCTTTAGTTTTAGGTGGACACCATATCTTTATTTTATTTTTATGTGGTGCTGAGGATCAATTCCAGTGCCCCATGTATGCTAGGCGAGCACTCTACCACTGAGCCACAACTCCAGCCCCTATTGTTATATTTTTACATTTTGTTTTTATTTGTATATATTTTCTCCCTCACTTATCTGTCTCACTAGATTTTTTTTCCTCACTTCTCTCATGTTAACAGCCAACCTCTGTTAATTCCTCCTTTGCTCTTACTATAACTTTTTATCTCTATTTTCTCTTCTTCTCCCTCATAAATATCACATCCTCTCTCCCGTTTGTCCATCATTTGAAATCGTAAACCCTTTTAGCAAACTTACTGTTCATACTATAGACAATAACTGAATAACTGAATACATCATTTCTGTTTATTGCAACAAAACCGGAGATGGCCAAAATAGGAGCTATTTAAGGTTGTATATTGTTTGCATTGGGTGCTGTTATTATTGGTCTCTCCCTTAAAAGTGGGGTACTGGAAGCCTTCAGGGACACTATAATTGGACTTCAGGGGAGAAACTGTACTGCCTCAGATCCACACTTCTAGATGGGAAAATGCACAAACAACTTGAAAAAACAAGGGAACAAAGTGCCTCAAACAAACCTCAAACAAAAAGATGTTCCAACAATAGAATCCATAGACAACACAGTATAAGAAATATCAGAGAAATTTAGAATGTACATAGATAATTTAATCTGCAAAGTAAAGGATAGTATAAGGAGTGAAATCAAAGAGAAAATACTGGAAGTGAAAGATCACTTCAATAGAGTAAGAGATGGGGGGGCGGGGAAACAAGCTGAAATCCTCGAAATAAAGGAATCAATAAATCAAATAATAAATTCAATAGAAAGCATCATGAACACACTAGACCACTTAGAAGACAGAATCTCAGGCAATGAAGACAAAATATATTCTTGAAAATAAAGTTGACCATTCCGTAAAGATGGCAAGAAACCATGAACAGAACGTCCAAGAAACATGTGATAACAGGAAAAGTCCAAACTTAAGATTTATTGGAATAGACAAAGGCATGGAGATACAAACCAAAGTAATGCACAATCTTTTCAATGACATCAGAAAATCTCCCAAATCTAAAGAATGAAATGGAAAATCAACTGYAAGAGGCTTACAGGACCCCAAATGTACAAAATTACAGCAGCCCTGCACCGAGGCACATTATAATGAGAATTACTAACACACAGAATAAGAACAGAATTTTAAAGGCTGTGAAGAAAAATAAATTAAAAAATAAACCAATTTGGATATCAGCTAATTTCTCAACCCAGACCCTCAATGCCAGGAGGTCCTGGAATAACATATATAAATGGATATCAACCGAGAATTTTATATCCAGCAAAACTTAGCTTTAGACTTGAAGATCAAATAAAAATCTTCTGTGGTAAACAAGAAAATCAGCAAAGTCAAATTAAAAAATCAAAAATAAACTAAAATGACCAGGAATTTAAAGCATATTTCCATACTAACCCTGAATGTTATGCCCTAAATTCATCAGCTGACAGACTRGGATTAAAAAAAATAAAAGACCCAAAAATATGCTGTCTAGGAGAGACTCATCTCCTAGAAAAAAGACATCCACAGTATGAAGGTGAAAGGATGATTAAAAAAAAAAAAAAATACCACTCACGTGAACTGCGCAAACAAGTGGGGGTCTCCATCCTCATATCAGATAAAGTGAACTTCAAGCCAAAGTTAGTCAGAAGGGATAAAGAAGGACATTTCATACTGCTTAAGGGAATCATACATCAACAAGATACAACAATCGTATCCATGGCCCAAACAATGGAGCATCTACATACATCAAACAAACTCTTCTTGATTTCAAGAATCAAAGAGACCACAACACAATAATTCTGAGTGACTTTAACATACCTCTCTCACCACTGGATAGTTCGTCCAAACAAAAACTAAGCAAGGAATCTATAGAACTAAATAATACAATCAATAATTTAGACTTAACAGACATATAGAATATTTCATCCATCATTGAGCAAATTCACTTTCTTCTCAGCAGCACATGGATCCTTTTCCAAAAAATGGACCATAAGTTATGCCACAAAGCAACTCTTAGCATATACAAAAAAAAA